GTGCTGATGTGTCTGCTGTGTGTGGTTGTTACTTGTTACTGAGGAATAAATATGAATGTGTTTGTGGTGTGCAGGTCAAGCTGGCTGCAGGACACAAGTTTGACAGAGATGTTGAACTGCTGATTTATTACAAAGACGCCCACCAGCCCACTGCTGTGGTGGAGGCAGGACAGGCCTCTGCTGAGCTGGGTGAGTAACATTAGTGTTGTTATTAGCTTTTTAGTAAAAAATATCATTATTTTATTCTTCAGCTCAAGAGTTATCGTTGTGATCAGAAATTTACACTTGTTGTGGGTATGAGTGGATTTATTGTCCAGCATAGATCTTTAATGAATTTGAAAAATAAGAATTGTTAAGCTTGCATAAGTTTGAATGTATTTTGGATTTTCTCTAATTCATACATGGTTCAAAGTTTACAGTGGTCTAAAAAAGTGTTTGCCCTCTTCCTGATTTCCCTTTTTAGATTTTTTAGATTGTCACACTTTCAGGTCATCAAACTAATTGAAATATTAGACAAAGACAACAGAAGTAAACAAAAAATATAGTTTCTAAATGAACGTGTTTTATATGAAAGGGAAAAAACCCAAACCTACATCGCTCTGTGTGATAAAGTGATTGACTGACTTTTTAAGGTCATGTCACGGCATCTCAATCAGATTTAGGTCAGGACTTTAACTAAGCCACTCCAAAGTCTTCATTTTTTTTTCCTTAAGCCATTCACAGGTGGACTTGCTGTTGTGTTTTGGATCATTGTCCAGTTTGAGGTCACGAACAGATGTCCAGACGTTCTCCTTCAGGATGTTTTAGTAGAATTCGTGGTTCCATTTACCACAGTGAGGCTTTGTGTTGTTTTTTTGTCAGCAGTGGTTTTCTCCTTGAACTTTCCTGTGAATGCCATTTTAACCTTTTTTTTTTTTTTTTTTTTTAAATTGTTGAATCATGAACTCTGACTTTAACTGAGACATGAGACAACTATGAATTCAGGAAGGGGACAAACACTCTTTCATACCACTGTACATACAGCTTAAGTACATACAATCACTAAAATATTTTACTGAGTGGTGCTTAAAGTTCTGTGATTTCTTTAAACTTGACAAAGCCACAAAGTTTCTGGGAGAATGTCCTGTGGATAGATGAGACAAAAATTGAACTTTTTGCCAAGGCACATCAACGCTATGTTCACCGACGGAAAAATGAAGCGTATCAAGAAGAGAACACTGTCCTAACTGTGAAAGATGGGGGAGGCTCGGTTATGTTCTGGGGCTGCTTTGCTGCCTCTGGCACAGGGTGTCTTGAATCTGTGCAGGGTACAATGATATCTCAAGACTATCAATGGATTCTAGGGAGAAATGTGCTGGCCAGTGTCAGAAAGCTTGGTCTCAGTCGCAGGTCATGGGTCTTAAACCAGGACAATGACCCAAAAGACACAGCTAAAAACACCCAAGAATGGCTAAGACGAAAACATTGGACTATTTTAAAGTGGCCTTCTATGAGCCCTGACCTCAATCCTATTGAGCATCTTTGGAAGGAGCTGAAACATGCCGTCTGGAAAAGGCGCCCTTCAAACCAGAAACAACTGGAGCTGTTTGCTGATGAGGAGTGGGCCAAAATACCTGCTGAGAGGTGCAGAAGTCTCACTGACAGTTCCAGGAATCGTTTGATTGCAGTGATTGCCTCAAAAGGTTGTTCAACAAACTCTTAAGTTGTGGGCACCATCAGTTAATTAATTCAGCTGAAGCATGGTTGAAAAGCAATGTCTGACTTTCATTGGTTAGGATTTATAGAATTTTTATTTATTATTACTTTTGTCAGATAAAAGTTATTTCTGTGACCATTGTGAGTTTTTTCTTTCATTGACCAAAGGGTACCAACAATTTTGTTCACGTCTGTAGTTACTCTTTCTCATCAAGTTATTTGTTACGTCACCACTCATTGGCCTGACCAATAATCATAACAATGGGAAAAAATCAAAGAAAGTCAGTGAAAATCTAAGGAGGAGAATTTTAGATTTGCATAAATGAAACACCTGCAAATTCTAGGTTCAAACAACTGCATGTAAAGTTTTTTTGGATGTGTCACCACTTTAATAAGTTCGAAGAAAGACCCAAACTCTTAATTTTAAGAAATTGGTTGAGATCTTCAGGAACAAGTATCACTAATTCTCAATTGTAACATAAACTAGGGGTGGGCGATATAAACGATATATGATAGAAACGATATAAATTTGGCCAATGATAGAGCGATATAGTCAAAATCTCTATCAAGATGGCGCGTGTTGATGATGTCATCAAGCTGCGCCTGTTTTGGTCGAAACTATCGCAGCGGCTACAACCGTTATCATCTGCAAATTATGCCGGGCGACAGTCATAGCAAAGAGATGAAGCACTTTTTAAATATTGGGAAAGCCAAAAACTCTGCTTCACCTCCGTAACATTGATTCATTAATGTTGAATTCTCTCGCAGCTGTTCTGTTCCCATGTTGTTGCAGTACATTAATAACTACCTCGTATTGTGGATGAATAATCTCAGTTGTTCTCCTGACTGACGTTTGCCCCATGTACAGCATCCTGCTATGCGACTGCATTTGTCCCTAACCACCAGAATCCCTCACGTTAACTTTTATCCAGTGGATAAAAAGTTGGCCATCCTCCAGCTTCACTGTGCTAATGTTATGCTAACATAGCTGTGTCGCTAGCAATCACGTAGCACAACATTATATACCAGGTAGTCCAACTTCAGTAACCCTACAAACGCCACTGATGTTTAGTTTTCTGTCTTCATTTATGTTGGAAGTGGTAGCAGAGCTGTACTTTCTAATTAGTTTCAAAAATCTCTCAGTCAGAACATGGTGTGTCATGTTTAGGTGGAAACTAGCAAGCTAACTTCCTGCTAACTTCTAACTCCGTTAAATTTAATAACTTCTGTTTTCATGGATGCTTGGATGTTAAACTTAATTGTTACACCCGATAAAGCAGCAATGCTGTTGATTTAATTAAAGATGAAAGAATTTAGACTGTTTTTAACTCTTAGTATTCGTTTGACTTTGGGACCTGAAGGGACGGAGTTTTGGACCCAGATTACTCCGCGAAGCTCCTCACTAATGCATAATGCTCTGACAATCCATCAAGCAGTGCTGTTTACCAAAGTTGTACTAAAACATTTTTTAACAGATTTCTGCACGCCAAAATCGGTCGAGGTCAGTAAGCACAACCAGAATTCATACATAAGGCACACTCTCGATTTTTGAGAAAATTAAAGGATTTTAAGTGTGCCTTATACTGTAGAAAATGCAGAAGGAAAATAATATATTGTGATATATTGTTACCGCACAAATTACTGCTTCAAATTATATCGCGATATGAATTTCAGGCCATATCGCCCAGCCCTAACATAAACTTTACATTTGTGGAACAAAAAAAAAGCCCCTTACATTTGACTTAAATTTGCAGGAGTGAAGGAGAGGCTTTCAAATATAAGAACAATGTACCAGCTGTCAAGCACTGTGGTGGTAACATCATGCTTAAACTGGTCATATCTGAGCCTGTTTGCATAATTTTGACCATGTGTAAATGGTAAATGGAAATGGTAAATGGACTGGTTCTTATATAGCGCCTTTCTACTCTTCTGAGCACTCAAAGCGCTTATTAGTGTGAATTAGAAAGTCAAAAATAATGTCACCAAAGATGACTGCATTCTCATTTCACCCTCAACCC